CCCCACCTCCACCCCCCAACCTCCACCACCAGCACCACCATCAGATGATGCACAGAACTGTGATAGCTCTGTGGTGACACAGTAGTATTTAGAATACACAGAAACATTTGTATTTTGTTTGTCTTACTCTCACTGCCATCGACTCAGAATCCATTGTTAACCTCATGGGATGTCCGAGCTGTAAATTGCACGGAGAAGCTTGTCTGTTTTTCTGGTGGTTTTGAGCCATGGAGAGTGTGGTCCTTATGTTAGTAGAACAGCTCCCCGTGCACAAGGCGACAGGAGCCCCCAGATTTCATTTACAACTATTGAAACCAGTGGTGGAGACCTTGGTGTCCAAGCATTGCAGTGTGTGAACACTGTCCAGTGGGCGGTATGCTGAGGTCAGCGGGGCTCACGGGCACCAGGAGCCTGGGCTTGTTTCCTCTCGGTTCTAGCTCGGGGCTCCCCAGGTTCCTCAGGCAGATGCCCACTCCCCAGGGTGACAACTTCCTGTTTATGAAATGATAATTACAGCCCTGTGAAAACAGAGCTGTCAGGCAGCTCGGCGGTCTCCCTCCCAGAACACAGGTACGAGGCAGACCTGGCTGGATGGCCCTGCTCAGGGGCTGGAACCGGGAGGGGCGTCTGAACTGCTGTTCTGCTGTGTCACCTACTGCCGGCTGCTTCCTCTCTGGGCTGGGGATGGTCTCATTGCCATGGGGGTGTTGGGAGGACTAAATGAGTCACATAGCACCTGGTACCAGGTAAGCACTACCAAGTGTGTCACCCGCTGCTGGCTGCTTCCTCTCTGGGCTGGGGATGGTCCCATTGCCATGGGGGTATTGGGAGGACTAACTGAGGTGCGTAGCACCTGGCACCACGTAAGCACCGCCAGGTGTGCCACCTGCTGTCTGGGCCCCAGATAGTGGCTTCTCTCCCCCATGAGCACTCCCTCGTTCAGGTGAAGTCACCTTTGCCTCAGCCCCAGCCCAGGAGGGTCTGAGGATCAGAACAGGGCTGTGCTCTGTGAGGTGTGCAGAGCGATCCCCAGGCCTTTCCCCCGAAGCACTCCAAGGTGTCCAGAACCTCCAGCCTCTGTTAGTGAAGCAAGCCAACATCTCAGGGCCCGGAGCCCGGTATGTCTGCTGTGGCAGTGGCCCCTTCTCTTTCTTGGTTTATTTTGGGAGCTGTTAACGCCTGCTGCTGTGTGCCTGTCCCTGGCCACCCCCGGGCACCGCTGTCCTGAGCAGGAAATGCTGGCTGCCTTCAAAAGGAGGGTGGACTGGTGCCAGGGACTCCCCCCACGCAGGGGCTGTTGAGGGAGTGCTGTTAGGAATCCGCTTCACAAGTCGGATGGAGGGATTGAAAGGAAAATTTTCCACAGCGCTTCTGATTCCCACGCCTGGCAGACTCTCTGGGCTCTGCCAGCTGGGTGGGGCCCAAGGTGAGGGGTTTCCCTACTCCCCCTGTGCAGAGCCCTTCAGGAGAGGCAGGGGTCTCCCTGGGCCTTCCTCCCACCTGACTTAGGGGATACAGCCTCCTCTAGGCTGTCGTGGTGGATGCCAACCCCACGTCACCTCTACCTGCCCTGCTTACTAAGCCCCGCCCCTGGCACCTGGCACAGAATGCCTCAAGGTCATAATCTCCCTCAGCGCCAGGGGCCTCTCTGTTCCCTTCCCACCCATCTGGGCTGTTGCAACTCCCAGAATTGAAATTACAAAACTGCCCAGTTCTCTGCCAAGGTCATCACAGACCCACAGGTGGGCGGATTTCCGGCTTCTCAAAGCTGGGTAACAGTCACTAAGTCTTTCTCCTGAGGGACCGTGAGCCTTGAACCTCTAACCTTTAGGGGAAAGTGGATTTTTTAACCCTTTGTGCACCCAGGAACTCCATCCAGAGATGGTAAACCAAACCCCAAACCCTCTCAGCTGACTGTTGCTCACATACACTGCCAAGCTGGGACCAAGCCATAGCTGACCGTCCAGCAGGTCTTCAGAGACAGCAGATCACATGGGAGATTGCTCATCCTTCTCCCATGGAGAAGCTGGTGGATTCGAACTGCCTGCCTGTGGGTTAGCAGCACAGCTTCTACCAGTTAGCCTCCCTCTAGCAACTTCACAGGAGAGAGCACATTGCCCCAGCGGGCTTGTAAGTTTGCACGTCTTTGCAGGAGCGGACAGTACCATCTTTCTCCCATGGGGCAGCTCTTGGGTTTGAACTGCTGACTTCATGGTTAGCAGCCAAGTGTCTAACTACTGCACCACCAGGCCTCCTTCCCTGTGTGATACTCAGTGATGTTTGAAGCAGGTCCCACTGGGGGTCCTTGAAGTTGGGCTGGGTGGGGCCTGGGTCTGTGGACCATAGCCTGAGGGGGGGCACTGAGCAGGGGTAGGGGACACTCACCTGGCTGCCTGTCCACTCACATGTCCTACCCGGGGACACCATCTTGGCACGTGGGTCTCTCCATCTGAGGTTGAGGAGGGTGGGGGCTGTGTCCCATCCTTCTGGGCAGAGAGCCAGGCCATCGTCCACTTCCTCAGACCTCTCCTGTGTGTGCCAGGGTCCTGCTACATAAGGACAGGGAGTGGACAGTGGCAGGGACCCCTGAGAGGGCTCTGGAAACCCCTCACGTGGCTTTGTGAGCTATTCTCTCATTAGCTCGTTTTGGAAATATTTGCCAAGTCCTTGCTGGATGTTTTCAGTGCTGGCTGACCCTTCTCCAAGCCACTGTCGAAGTGCCCACTAGCTGCTGGGTGGCACCTGCCCCTGACGAGCCCGCCCTAAGCTTGCCTGGAGGGACCCACAGGCTGTGGGGTGGTGCCCCATATCAGCTGACACCTGAAATGCCCAGGGTGTGCTGGGCAGCACCCTCGTATCAGTCTGTTCCTGAGAGACCCACAGTATGCATGTAGTGCTGGTTGGCCCGCCCATATTGGCCCACCTCTGAGGGGCCCTAAGGTATACTGGGTGGCACCCTTATATTAGCCTACCCCCACAAGGCGTCCAAGGTGTCCTGCGTAGAACCACATTAGCCTGCCCATGAAGGGGCCCCAGTGCTGGGCAACATCCCATATCATCCCAACTCTGACACCAGCCCCCTTTTGAGGGCCTGAGAGGTGTAGTGGGGCAAACCTCATCACTGGGCCCTCCATGAGGTGGGAGGGTAGGGAGGTACTAGCTGTGAGAGTTGGTGTTGGCAAGGTGTGGGCAGCATAGGAGGGCACCCAGCCACTCCTGGAGGCCTTCTTGGAGGAGGTGATTTCAGTTGCTCTGAGGGAGAAAGGAGTAAGTTACAGCAAGGTGAACCTGTAGCTGTTCTCAGGGAGCTTTGGTAGCCTAGTGGGTAAGAACCTGCGCTGCCAACCCAAAGGCACACAGTTCAAATCCACCAGCTGCTGCTCGGATGGATGGGCCACCTCCAGCATTGCGGTTTACTGCCTCTGAAAGCCTGCTCCAGCATTGTGGTTTACTGCCTCTGAAAGCCTGCTGGACGGTCAGCTCTGGGTTGGTTCCAGCTTGATGACGCAACTATGGGTGTTTGGGGGTGGAGTGTTGAAGGAACTTCAGCCAGTCAGTGTGGGGTGGGCACTGGGAGGGGGCAGTGGGGCAGTGGACATGGAGTTCTCATGGGCACGTGTTGTAGGTGTTCAGGGAACATGTTGTCACAAGTGAGATGGGGTGTTAAGAGTGGGGACTAGGACCGAGTGGCATGCTGAGGAGCTGTGGGTGACATTTGGGGACACTGTGTGGGGTGGGGTCGGGAAGGACATGGGAGCACAGCCTGGAGCTGGACGTTTGGGGAGATGATGGGATAAGTGGGGTGCGGTACGACAAAGGAGCACAACTAGAAGCTGGACAACGCAGAAAGACCCACAATCCTGCAGAATTACCCTTGTCCGTCGGTCGTAGGTGCTGTTGACTTGGTGCTAGGTCTTAGTGACCTGTGAGCATGGCACCCTGCCCCGCGCCCCCCCACCTCTGCCTGTCCCTAGCTGCCCCGGCCCGCCGTGGTCTGCCCCGGCCTGCCCTGGTCTGCCCCGGCCCGCCCTGGCTGCCCTGGCCCGCTGCCCTGGCCCGCCCTGGTCTGCCCCGGCCCGCCCCGGCTGCCCCAGCCTGCCCCTTCCTGCCCCGCCCTGCCCTGGTCTGCCCCAGCCTGCCCTGGTCTGCACTGTCCTCACAATTTCTGCCATCTTGAGCCCACTGCTGCAGCCACTGTGTCCGTCCACCCTGGGGGCGGGGCGGGCTTCCTCTTTCCTGATGACACTCTGCTTGTCCAAGCCAGACATCCTTCTCCAGGGACTGGTCCCTCCTGAGGCCTCGCCCTGTTTGCTTCTGTGAGGAATGGAGATGAGAAGCCTCTGTGAACACAGGCAGCCCCCCCCCCCCCCCGAGACCTCGGTCAGGACAGCCACTGTGAGACAAGAGGTCCCTGGGTGTCACAGTGGGCCCGGCTGCTAACTGAAACGTTAAAGAAAACCTTGTGCTCTGTTTCTGAGAAATCACCCCCTGAAAGCCTAGCAGAGCAGGGTTTTTACTCATGAATGTGGGATTGGCCGGGCTGGAAGGGACCATTGACAGCTCCCACGCTGACCCTCTCCAGGCCTGCTGGCTCCTGTCCTAAGCCCTCTTGTCGTCTTCTCTCCCAGGTGACACCACCCTGAGCTTCCTGGTCCTGGTGACTGGCTGCACCTCGGTGGGCAGAATCCCAGAGGCTGAAATCTACAAGATCACAGCCACTGACTTCTTCCCACTCCAGGACGCAGGCGGAGAGGAGGACCGGCTCTTGGCCCTGAAGAAGATACTCAACTCGGGCGTGTTCTACTTCTGCTGCTCCAACAATGGGTCCCGCTTCGACCTGACTGTGCGGGCGCAGAAGCAGGGCGGGGACCCCTATGAAAGCGGGAATGCCTTCTTCTGGTGAGGGACCATCACCTCTCACCCTAACCCTGACCCCCACCTCCCAGCCCCATCCTGTTCTACCATGAGTGACCCCTCCACTCCCACCCAGGATCACCCAGGTGGAACTCCAACCCTCACTCCCCACCCCTGTCCTGTTCTAACATGAGTGACCCCCCCCCATCCCTGCCCTGGATCACCTTCACCTGAGGGTGGCCATCCGGGCCTGGTAAGGGCCTGTTACCTCTCACCTTAACCGTAACTCTCACCCCCCGCCCCCCCGAATCACCCAAGGGTCACCATCCGGGCCTGGTAAGGGACTGTCACCTCTCACCTTAACCCCCACTCCCCACCCTGCCCTGGGTCTGCCGAGGGTGGCCGTCAGGCCTGCTCAGTGTGAGCACGACGGAGGGTGGACACGTTCCCTGCCTCCAGGGTGCTAGATGTGGGCTTGGAATCTTCGAGTGATGTAAACTGCTAATATGCTAACCAGTACTGAAAAGGTGGAGAGTTCAAATCCACCCAGGGACAGCTCAGAAGAAAGGCCTGGCAATCAACCTACTTCTAAAAACTCAGTCACAGAAACCCCATGGAGCTCGGTTCTCCCCTGTCGTGCATGGGGTCAGAATCGTTAAGGGGGCTTGTGCCTCGTGTATGGGCAGCTGTTCATGCTTCCAGGAAGATTTTAACGCCTTTGTCCACTTCATGGGCTTAGTTAACCCCCAGCGGCCAGTGACCCCTGGGCTCTGTTCAAAGACCCTTGGTGGCACAGAGGTGAAGCATTTGATTCCATAAGCTCCCACTCACCTGGCTGACTTCGTCCCGTGAGGGCTGGTGACCATGAAAAGCGGCTCTGATGCTGTAGGAAGGTGTTATGAGAGAGATGCCACCTGCCCCGATGTAGGGCAGGATCTGAGGAGGACAGCACGGCGTTGTCCACTGCCTGTAATGGGCACGTGAGCAGGAGGAGACCCTGCTTGCCTGGAGCACTGGGTACCCACCGTGTCAGGGACTGTGAACTTGAAGGGGTGTGGATTCTGTAGAAAGGGCTGTGGGATGTGGGGGGGGGACACCCAGCTTCTGTTCAGAGAAAGGCTCAGGGCCATGGTTCTGCATGTGTCCCCAAGTCCTCCTGGGGGATCTGTGGTGATTGTATGATTGCACCACATGCTAACCTGGAGGTCTACCTGGGGCACCTCAGAAGAAAGGACTGGCAATCTATTTCTGGAAGACCAGCCGCTGAAACCCCGGTGGAGCCCTGTTCTACTCAGACACACACGGGGGTGTCGCGAGTTGGGGTCCACTTGATGGCTGTTGGTTTGACCTGGTTACAGGAGAATGAATTTCCACCTGGGCTGGTTAACGTCTGGGGTTGGATGGTCCAGCAGTTCTGGGCTGGATCTGGTTTCTGCTCCCCCCCCGCTCCCCCCAACCCCAGCTGGCATCCAAGGAGGTATCTGCAGGCTCTGGGGGTGCATAGAGGGCTCCCTAGGTCTGCAGGGTGCCCTGTCAGAGTGCAGAGAAGCAGAGGGGCCACCTCAGAGGACAGGAAGCCGAGGGGTACTCTGGCCTCTGCGCAGGCCATGTGGAGAGTGAGCTGCTCTGCTGGGCGTGGAGGACACAGGAAATAATGCAGAGAGGTGGTGGTTGAGGGTGCCGGGGCCCAGTCACTCCATGAAGTTCCCTCTGATATGGTCCTGGGCCTGAGAGGAGGCTGCGTGGGTCAGTGCCCAGCTGCAGGACATGGTGCCAGCTCTGAGCAGAGACCTCAGAACTGACCTGGGCCAGTGAGTCACCGCTGCTGGCTGGTGAGCCTGGACATTGTCCCAGTGGCCGAGCCCAAGCCAGATGCTTAGATCTGGGAGAGCGTGGGGTGACGGTCCCTCGGAGATCACAGTGGTCACTCAGAGATCACAGTGTCGGCCTTTCCCCTCACAGCTCCACCCTGGAGGGACCACCGGGCCCCACTCTCCTGTACACTCGAGGGTCCTTCCTGCTTGGGTGTGGGTGTCCTCCCGCCCAGGCTCAGGAGAGGCTGACTCACAGGACCAGGGGTCACCTGGGGTTATTCCGCTTCGGATGCCCAGGACGGTGGTCATGACTGCCTGGTCAGCTGACTCTGGAATGTTCTGGAAGCCTTGCTTTGCTGCCGCGTGCGCATTCATGGCATTGGTCACTGAGCGGGTGGGCAGGTCTTAGAGTGAGTGACGCAGGGTGTGAAGCATTGCTCCGTGGCCTGTCTCCAGCAGATGTGCTCGGGACAGTGGAGATGTGGGCTGAAGGGGTTGGAGGAGGGGTCTAGAGCCTGAGTTAGCAGAGAGCTGAGAGGGGTGGGGGTGACTTCTCATAGAAGGGGAGGCAATGGCTATGAGAAGGGTGCATCCAGCAGTGAGGAGGACCTACAGATGGTGGTGTCCCCCTTAGACAAGTAGGACATCGTGGTCCAGCTTGATGTCTGACATAAGGAGGCTCCCACGATGGTCTTCATTCCCCAAGGGGCGGTGGGCTCAGGGCTGGCTTGGCCCCTGGTGTATAATGTAGAGGTGGACGTAGCCGAGGTGTGCCCCAGGGCCTGCTGGTACATGCACCTTAGCTGAGTTATCACTTCCCAGAGCAACCCCTTCTTTGGGAGGGGGAGGCCCAGGGATGTGGGAGATGGAGAGGATAGGCCCTTCGGAGCCAGGACTGACCTGAACAGTCTCCACCCAGGCCCAGGCCACGTGGAGCCCGACTTTGCGACCTTGGCTAGGACTGGGCTTCTCTGAGCCTCAGTTTCTGAATCTGTGGAATGGGGCCAGTGTTCCTAACTTTCACAAACAGCCCTTTTGAGGATGAAATGAGCTTATCTGGAAGTCCCTCAAATGGGCCTGATCTGCTAGGTCAGCGCTGCTGTCATCCCACAGCTACTGTCACTGACACCAGGGTGCCTCGGGGCATGGCAGCCCCTGGGGATGGGGTGGGGTGGAGACCTTGTACTTGAACTAAGGTTTACTGGCTTTCCACCCTTTATTACTTATGTTGGATTCTGTGCCCAAGCCTTCATTATCATGTCCCAGTGTGTGTATAATATTGAAATAAACATGCGTATGTTGGGTATGCCATTGAATTTTAAAGTGATTGGGTCTAGGGGAAAATGTGGAGATCACAGGGTAAAACCCAGGGCGTCTAGGAAATTCTCTGAAGGTCCATTCCTGGCTTTGCTTCCAGGGAACCTTGTAACAAGGCTTCCTGTCAGGGGAGAGAAGGCCCAGGAGGATTCAGTGGTTAATGCAAGTAGGTGCTGGCTGGAAGGTTGAAGGTTCAAGTTCACCCAGGAACATCTGGCTGTCTCCTGAGCCGTCAGCTGTTGAAAACCCCTTAGGGCCAGTTTTGTTCCGACCCATGAAATGCTTTGAGTTGAAGTTGAATTGATGGCATCTGGTTTACTGGGACAGGATCCACCCCCCCCCCCAGCCCTTCCACACGTCTCTGGGGTCTTCCGGGGCTACCTGTCTGTGGTGGAAAGTGCCTGGGGGCATTATGCCTTTGCCACCCCTTCTCCCCGAGCCTGCGTCCTGGGCCCCCAGGTGCCTCTGACACCTCTCAGGACACCCTGGTCACCTCTCCGCTCTGCAGGAACCAGCTGTTGCACGTGCCTCTGAAGCACCACCAGGTGAGCTGCTCCGACTGGCTGCTGAAGGTCATCTGCGGGGTGGTGGCCATCCGCACTGTGTACGCCTCGCACAAACAGGCCAAGGCCTGCCTCATCTCCCGCATCAGCTGCGAGCGGGCCGGCGCTCGCTTCCACACCCGCGGGGTCAATGATGATGGCTACGTGTCCAACTTCGTGGAGACGGAGCAGGTGAGTGGCCGGGCTGTGGCTCGGGGCGCTCAGTGTAGCCACAGACCAGACACACAGGTCCGTGGGGTTAATGCTGCCTCCTGGTGACGCGTGTGCTGCAGGGTGGAACTGCCCCGTGTGGTTTCCTGGTCCCGTCGTTTACAGAGCAGTTTCCAGGCCTTTCTTCCTCAGTACCAAGAAGTGGTTAGAACCACCGACCTTTAAGTGACTGTCGCTGAGTCACTTCCAACTCGCAGTGACTCTGTGGGTCTCATCCCGCGCCATCTTCACAGCTGGTCCTGTGTTTGAGGCCGTGGTGCTGTCTGGGTCAGTCCATCTCATCTCTAATCTTCTTTCTCTCTGACCTTCCACTTCTCCAAGCTTGATGTTCTTCCACCGTGATGGCCGTCCTCATCGTATCCAAAGTCTCCCGACCTCACTTGTAAGGAATATTCGAGGTGCACTTCTTCCAGAGAAACTGCTTGAGGTTAGCAGCGAGTATATCCTGTGTCCACCCCCTGGGGACCTGGACCTGAATTCTTCCTCCACCCAGATCCTGACCCCCTCCTGGGACTCAGCACGGACAGAAAGGCAGGAGGATGTGGGAGAAGTTTCTGAGGTGCTGATGGACACTGGATTGTGTAACTGGGCTGGGCCTGCACATCCAGCCAGGGCTGTCGAGTGGGTATTTTTGACTCCACTTCTCATGTGGGAGAATGTTGCTTACTTGAAGTATTTTTAGCTAAAAAGGAATCAAGACCCTTTGCTGTGGTCACCCACAAGTGGAAGTTCTTCAAAGAACAGCTGATGAATGAAACCCTCTGCTTGGAAAAGCTTCTCAGGACGATGGGACCCCGGAAAGGAGAGAGAAGGATTGAGTCTGTTTTTATTCAGCCAACGAGCTAAGTGGAGTGGCTCCTGGGAAGAGCCAGGCTGATCCCCGGGGTGGGCTGTCTCAGCTCCCAGGTGTACACCGTGTGCTTCACCCGTTGATTTTTCTGTCTGACTTGCTGTCTGCAGGCTGCAGCTCTGAGAACCTCAGCGAAGACACAGGTATAACACACAGCGGGGGCTTGTTGATTTGGGAGACTCGGTTTTGTGGTTCCTTGTCCCTACTGCTGCTGCCAGCAGAGGGATTGCTTGTGAGAACCCAAAACCAAACCCGAGCCTGCCGCCACTGAGTTGATTCTAACTCTCAGTGTCCCTGTCGGACAAGGTAGAATTCTCCCAATAAGATCCTCCCAAGGAGAAACCCCAGAGGAGTCTTCTGTGTGCTCACGTGCTGGAGGAGGCCGGCGGTCCAGCTCTGAGCCTCAGGTCTCAGGAGAGCTGCGTCTGGGGAGGCTCCACGGGCAGTGAGCAAGGCAGCGAGCAGGGCAGCGAGCAGGGCAGCAGGCTGCTGGCTTCAGAGGCTAACAAGTCCCAAATCAGCAGATACAGGAGGCTGCTGGCTCAAGCCGCATGCAGGACCGGGTAGAAGCTCGCTAGCTTTGCCATAGCGTCCAGGTGTACATCCAGTGCAGGCCACACCCAAAGCAGACTTCCCTCCTTTAGACCAAGGCTGGTGACGTCGTTCCTGAGCCGGCTCTTTACCAACGGAGAGTTTAGAATTTAGAGCCTCCAGGATCCTTCCATTCTGCTGGGAATCATGGCCGTGTTCACACGTACCGTTAACCATCATCTCCCTCACACAGCTTTAGCCTGTCCAGCTTTTTCACAGGGCTGCGGGTCACTGACGTCATTAACCTTGATCCATGAAATGTTCCTGTCACTGTCAACTGGACTTTCCAAAAGGATTCAGCCACTCGGAGGTCAGGGGATGTGACCCTGTGGCAGAGGCCTCTGTAGATGTGCGACCTTTGGCTTCCTCTCCGCTCAGTCTCTTTCTCCGCTTTCCCACAGTGAGCAGGCGTTTTCCCAGGCCTGGATAGTTGTTTCACACCCGCGTGTCTGCAGACAGAGTTTTTCCCCTCATGTTTTCACGGTAATGGCTGGGGCTGGGGCAAGGCCTCGTCTTCTCATCTCCTGATTCCCACAGGGCCTTAGAGAAATGCCTGAGGAGAACCAGCCACTCGCCAGCGTCCAGGGCGCTGCCATGCCTCCACCTTCCCCCTCAGGATGAGCAGGGGCTTCTGCTCCCGTCAGCCTTTGGGCCCTTCCTGGCTTCTTTGCTGGCTCGGGCATCCTTTTCTGTCCTCTGGGCTCTGGAACACAACAACACGTGCTGGGTGCATTGGTGCTGTCTCCAGTAAGGGCAGGCTGACCGGCAGCCAGAAACCCCAGCTGTTGTTGGCTCGGGGAACCGCAGGTGCTGCTGACTGAGGCCCGGCTCTGCGTGTTTAACCCCTCGGTGGTTTTGCTTTCTCCACAGACTTGTAACAGGGCGTGAGGCTTGTTGGAGATTGAAGTATGTCTCCCAAAATAAATGCTGTCCACCCTAACACTTGTAGGCCTGTGATGTTAGCAAAGGACATGGAGCGTACCGTGGACTGCCAGAAAGACAAACAAACATCCTGGGAGAAGTGCAACCAGGGTCTCCTTAGAAGCAAGGATGGTCAGGCTTCAGCTCACACACTCTGGTCATGTTGTCAGGAGCCGGTCCTTGGAAAAGGAAGGCATCATGCTTGGAAAAGTAGAGGATTGGCGGAGGAGATCCTTAATGAGACGGACTGACACAGTAACCGCATCAAAGAGCCCACGCATAGCAGACACCATGGGGCTGGGGCCGAATCAGGCAGGTCTCAGTCCATTGTTCCCGGGGTCACTGTGAGCTCAGCTGACCCCGCAGTGCCTACCAGCTACAGCACACCCTGGACATGAACCCTTCTTGGAAGCCGGATTCCCTTAATCATATCATCACTTAATGAGGCCGTATCACTGTAGGCTGTGTCCTACGTCTAGTGACTTTTGAGACGTAGTAAGGTCAGGCTAGACCGAGAACTGGAAACATGAATGGCAGGAGGAGGTGGGGCTCAGAGAGGCTGAGCTGCCAGCCCTCCCCTGGAGCTCACCCTGAGTTCAGACCCTGCCCCTCACTGTGTCCCGTTTTGTCTGTTCAAGTCCCCGCTGATGGCATTTCTGAGACAGCAGCGTTGAGGGACTGAGTTTCTGCGCCCAGAGCACCCCTTTGCTGGCCAATGGGCCCGAGCCTGCTTAGAATAGCCCACCATGGTTCTTCCTGGGGGACAGACAGGCCAGGGTGTTCTCAGTGACTCAGAGAGACCCTAAGAGTGACCTGGGATGTGAGAGGCGACAATCCCAACCAGGACAGGTGAGAACTCACTTCCCAGACCACGTGAAGGTGTCCTTGCTGCCACCAGGAGGTGGACCCAAGCACATCCCAGTGGTGTGTCATCTGTTACCGACCATGTAGCCAGACAGATCAGGGGTGGCCCTCTTAGGTCGACTTCTGCCCTCCCAGTGACGTCCGGCCAGTGCCTGGCCAGAGACAGAGAAGTCACCGGCTAGATGAAGACCAGGAGAGGCCATGCCTAGAGTCTGTGTGGGGCTACAGGGAGCAGAGACAGGGAGAGGGCAGTGAAGGCCCAGGCTGGGCCCTGTGTTGCCTGTCATCAAATAAACCCACTGCCATCAACGCTTGGCCACCCTCCATCAAGTCTCTGAGGCTGGAGATCATGAGGGCACTAGTGCCCGAGACTGGAGGCAGCTGATTGACTGGTCACTTTGCTTTGACAGTTGTCTGACTGGGTTCCCCGAGGAGCAGACCAGCTTCCTGGGGGAACTTGGCGGGCCCTTCAGAAAGTAAACGCTCAGGATCCTGGGAGGGGGCACTTCCTGGACCTGAACCAGAACCACCACATATATCTCCATGGCCAGCTGTGTGTGTGCACGTTTGTACACGTATGTGTGTGTCTGTGTGTGGGGGGAGATGGGAGTGTGAGAGGGTGAGTGTGTGTGAGAGAGAGAGGGTGCATGTGTGAGGGGGAGAGATGGGAGTGTGAAAGGAGGGAGTGTGAGGGTAAGTGTGTGTGAGAGAGGGTGCATGTGTGAGAGGGAGAGATGGAGTGTGAGAGGGTGAGTGTGTGTGTGTGTATGCATACCTGGCACCTGGTCCCTGCAGCACTTTGTGTACCCCTTGGTCAGCACTGGCCTGGTCAGTACTGGGGGCACAGGACTGACATGTGGACCCAGGTGGCAGCCTCCCCAGTGCAGGGTGCCATTCTCTCTGGAGTGGGCAGACCCCTGTGGACACAGGCTCAGTGGGTCCCACTGCCAGCTCTGCTTTCCCAGCCGCCCCTGAATGACTAATGCATGTGCCACCCAAGCACCATCTCCCAGCGTGGAAAGCGACCCGGTAAGGGAGAGGCAGCGAGCCGTGGAAAGGACCGGCCGGCCATCCTGCCAGGCCAGCGTCTGGTTACCAGATAGGGGCCGCACATCTGATACCGGCTCCTCGTGTCCTCTGAAGACTCTCTTACATGACATGCGTGGTCTGGAGGTCCCCTCGGAGTGGGGTGCCTGGGGGTGGCGAGGAGGGACAGTTTTTAAAACAGAAGTAGAGATTCTATCCATGTAGGCACCATCATGCAGAAGACTGGGGAAGCCGTGTTGTGTGTGGAGGTAGTGTGTGTCAGGGCACTGGAACAGGGCCAGGATCAAAGGCAAGTTCAGCTCTTCAGTCCACAAGCTCAAGGTTGACTGGAGTAGGCATTCTTGGCAGTGACTGTCCTTTATGCTTTGTTAAGGCCACTGCCGTTAGCAGAGTAACAAGGTAAAAATGGGGGCTTAAAGGCAGGCCGTGTGGGAGCCACAGGGGCTCAGTGGAGAGTTCTCCCCCTCCATGACGGAGACCCAGGTTCCATTCCCAGCCAGTGAGCCTCATGCGGTCAGTTCTGGGAAGAGAGGCCTGGATGTGAAAGCTAGCCTGTGACCACCCTGTGGGTGACTGTAGCTGTGGTGGAGATGGTGCAGGACAGGACAGCGTGCACCCAGTTGGCGCAGTGCCACCATGAGCCAGGGCTGACTGGATGGCAGCTGACCACTGAGGAAGGTCTCCCCGGATCCGAGTGCAGCCTGCTTGGTCCCCAATGTGGCTGGCCCTGCGGGGCCTTGGGGAGGTCAGTGAGGTCACGTCCTGAGAGGGTGGCCCCGCCTGTTGCAGCTGACCCTGGGGACAGGGCACTCGGTCAGTGGCATGGCACTGGGCCTGGAGGCCGCCGCGCTGGCCCGAGGAGAGGGCCATCCGCGCGCCGGCTGTGGTGTTGGGTCTCGGCGGGATCCGGTTACGCAGCCGGGCACTCGCCGTCACTGACCCTCCTCTATGTCTCCTCCCCGAGCAGACAATTTACATGGATGATGGGGTGTCGTCTTTTGTCCAGATCCGGGGCTCCGTGCCGCTGTTTTGGGAGCAGCCAGGCCTTCAGGTGAGTCATGGGGACCCCACCGTGACCATGAGTGGCAGCCACCGCCTTCTGGTCCTCACCACGGGGCAGTCCCCAGCGGGATCTTTAGCTGCTACGGCCTCAGCTCATCTCAGCCTGGCTGTGAGCTCGTGGCTGGGGTATGTGCTGTGTGTGTGTGCACACGTGTGAGAGCGTGTGTGTGTGTGTGTTGTGGATGTGCTGGTGTGTGGAGTGTGATAGACATATCTCTGTGTGTTAGCGTATGAAGAAACGTGGATGTGGGAACATGGGTGTATGTACGAATGTTGTTGTTGTATACCTCACAGTCAGAACTGACCCATAGCTGACCCTCCGGTGGGTTTTCAGAGGCAGTTAATCTCATGGGAGGAGATTGCCCATCTTTCTCCCATGGAGCAGCTGGTGGCCTCGAACCATACGCCTTTGGGATTGCAGCACAGCTTCTTGCCACTAGGCCATGTGTGCTCCTTATGTACACACAGGGTGTATATGTGTATAAGTGTCCGTGTCGGTGTGTACATCTGTGTGAATGCCTGTTTGTGGATGTGGTATGTGTATGCGTGAGTGTACTGGGTGGGGCGTGTGTTTGTGTGCGGACGTGTGAGGGTGTACCTATGTGTATGCAGAAGTGTATGTGTACGTCGTATATGTGTGGATGTGCAGGTGTGTGGAGTGGCATTCATCCATGTGTGTGAATAGGTGGTGAATGTTCTCTGTGTGTGTGTCTGTGGTGGTGTTAGGTGCCATCCAGCCGAGAATGACCCCTGTGAACAACAGGTCTGAACCCTGTCCTGTGCTGTCGAAGTGGACACACAGACGTGTGTGATCTGTCTGTGTGAGGGGACTCGTGACTGTGTGTGGATATGTGCATATCCATGAGTGTACATGTGTGACTGTGTAAACATGGGGGTGGGGAGCGTGTGTGTATTGTGTTTGTATGAAGGTTTGCGTAAGTGTGTCTATGTGTACTGTATATATGTATCTACGTGTGGTGTTTTATGTAGACAGCACACACTCTGGTCCCGCTTTGGCCTGGCAAGCGTGTCCTGTGTGTGTGTGTGTGTGTACACATGTGTGGTGTTTTTATGTAGACAGCACACACTCTGGTCCCGCTTTGGCCTGGCAAGTGTGTGCTCGCTCTCTGTGTTTGTACACGTGTGGTATTCTTATGTAAACAGCACATACTCTGGTCCTAACTTCAGCCTGGCAAGTGTAAGCTGTGTGCGCGTGTGTATTTACACATGTGGTATTTTTATGTAGACAACACACATTATGATCCAGGCTTTGGCCTGCCAAGCATTTGCTCTGCGTGTGTGTGTGTGTGTGTGTGTGTGTGTGTGTGTGTGTGTGTGTGTGTATGTGTGTGTTTGTACACGTGTGCTATTTTTATATGGACAGCACACACCATGGTCCCAACTTCAGCCTGGCAAGCATGTACTGTGTGTGTGTGTGTGTACATGTGTGATATTTTTGTGTAGACAACACACACCGTGGTCCTGACTTTGGCCTGGCAAGGGTGTGCAGTGCTTTCTGCCGGCCTGAGTGCAATGCAGGGGTGTCTTTGCTGAGGAAGTGAGCCACATGGGGTACTCAGGGATTATTATGTCAACTTACAACCCAAATTCAGTGATTCAGAGTGTGGCCACAGCGCTGTCAAGGATGGTGACAGAGAGGACCCTGCCTGGCCTTAGGGTCTGGTGTTGGGGGTGCCTGTGCCGAGCCCCGTGAGAACCACACAGCTTCCTGAGTTCTAAAAATACCTCCGGCCGTACCCACAGTCACTGGTGCCAAAGGAATGTGGCGCTCTGACTTAGGGGCGAGGACAGGGGGAGCATTTTGTCCAGGACACACTTGTCCTGGGTTTATCTCCAAGGCCACTGGGCAGTGCCCTGGGCCCCTTCGCCATCTTGGGAAGTGCTGACCTCTGGAGGGCTCACAGGTCCTCTCCATGGCCTTGTCACTTTCGGTTCTTCTTACTGGGGCTCAAGTTACCTTGTGAGATGCGGGGCCAGGGCTGCAGGGAGTGGGGTACCATTGCCAGGCTATGGGGTTTGGCCAAACAGGGCTCGGGTCCCAAGGGCCAGTTCACCAGTTAGCACGGCCCTGGCCAGGACATGGTATCAGTGACTTCATGGCTGTGACCGGCCTGTGCTGGCCGTCCTGGGAACCAGCCATGTTCACTCTCGAGGCAGATGGGACCAAGTCTCACTGGTGGCTTCATGACATGTGCCAGGCCTTTCCGTGTGAACAGAGCAGCAAGGTGGACAGACTGACATGGCACTAGAGGCAGCACACATATGGCCTTCGTGACATGTGGGACATTCCTGTGGGGGTTCTAAAAAAGATGGGGTTTGCTTTTATTAAGCAGATTTGTTGTTGTTGTTATGTGCTGTCGAGTCACCTGTGACTCATAATGACCTTAAGTACAACAGATCTAAACTCTGCCCTATCCTGTGCCAATCTCACTATCCCTGACACACCTACCCCCATTACCCCAGTCACTGAATCAGTCCATCTCCTAGAGGGTCTTCCTGTCCTGTGCTGTTCCTCCACCCTCCCAAGCATGATGTCCCTCTCCAGGGATTGGTCCTTCGTTGCAGCATGTCCAAAGTATGTCAGACGGAGGCTCAGAATCCTTGCTTCTAATGAGAAGCCTGGCTTCACCCTCTCCAGGACAAACCTGTTCATTTTCTTAGCAGTCCATGGTATATTCAATACTCTTCTCCAATGCCACAGCTCAAAGGCATCCATTCTCCTGTCATCCCTAGTCATTGCCCAGTTCTCTGATGCATAACAAGTGATTGCAAAGACCATGGCCTGTATCAGGCACACCTTAGTCTCCAGAGAGACACTGTTGCTCTTCATTGCCTTGGAGAGGTCCCTCACAGCCCACTTCCCCATTGCAATATGTCTCCCCCCCCCCAGCTGCTGGTGCCAAGAGTGTTGACTGTGGAGCCAAGCACACTAAAACTATGAATAATATCAGTCTCTTCACCATCGAACGTGATGCTGCCAATCGGCATTTACTGAGATATAATTTACCTGCCACAAGGTTCACCCATTTAAAGCGTATGTGATTTTTTGTCTATTTATTGTGTTGTATAATCACCACCAGGCTCTAATATTAGAACACTTTCATCACCAGCAACCCCCCTGCACCCATGAGCGGTCACATCCGTGACCCTCAGAAAGTCACTGTCATCAAGTCGATTCTGATTCGTTGTGGCCCTGGAGGACAAAGCAGACCCCTCTCATGGGGCTTCCTTATGGAAACTGCCTGCCTGCCACATTCCTCCTGTGGGTTCAAGCTATGGCCTTTCAGTTAACAGCCCAACACTTCACCCACGGCGCCACGAACAAGCAAGCCCACTTCCCCCAGCCAGCTCCAGGTCACAGCCGCCCTCGTGTGGGGTTTCCCAGGCTGTAAATCGTAATGGGGAGAAACTGCTCTCCTCCGTCCTCAGAGCACCCAGCTGATGCAGACCACTGACGTCAGGTGGCAGTCCAGTGCCCTACACACTGCAGCACCAGGGGGCCGTGAAGCCACTTCTGTCTCTAACTCAACCCACGGCCATCAACTCATAGCTGACCCTCTGTTGGGTTCCCGAGGCTTCTGACAGCCAGGAGGAGGAGATTATCCATCATTCTCTCACTGAGAGGCCAGAGGCTTTGAACTGCGCCTGAGTGGCCTTTGGGGTAGCAGCACCCCCAGAATTAGCAGCATCCCTAGAATTAGCACTATAGCTTCCCTTCTGGGCCTTCCAACAGTTTTAGAAACTTGATTATTTTTCTATGGATGTTTTTTTTTCTAAAGCGTCTTGAATTCTAAATTGATAGAGGATGAAGATAACATAATAAGTGAGTTGTTGCTTCTGAATTGTGCGCTGTTGAGTTGGAACTGACCCACTGCTGACCCTTCAGTGGATTTTCTGAGGCAGAAAACCACACAGGAGGAGATTGCTCACTTTTCTGCTGTGGAGCAGCTGGTGGATTCGAACCCTGTGCCTTTGGGATTGCAGCGCAGCTTCTTACCACTAGGCCACCAAAGCTCTTCTCACCTAATTAATGAGCACAGACAAAACAGCGAGGCCTCACAAATGCACACGCAGTACAAGCGGCGTGGTCGTGGGGTTTGAGCAGGGCCGTGAGAGGCCATCATTTCTTCCATCCCTCCCGGATCAGGAGTCCTCATGAGATCGCCAGTCCCTGTGCCTCTAGACTGACCAGCTGACCACAGAAGTTGCCTCCAGGAGAGGCCTGGTGACCTGGCCGGGGACGTCCAGCCACGGAAAGCCCTGTGGGCACAGTGCTGACACTCGGGGTGGGGGTGGGGTCACCAGGGCCTGGAGGGACTTCCACAGGACTGTCCCTGCTTTTGGCCTGGTTTATTCCTGACAGTGTTCCAAAGTGGGCAAAAGTCCATTCTGTGCCCACCTCGTTGACTTAAAGCCTCTAAGAGCTTTTCCTTTCCCCATCGGCTTCCTTTGTCCATCTGCTCTCATGTTTCCAGGATTTTTCAATTCTCTCCCCTTCAATGTCCCCCTCCCTCCCCCTCAGTGTTCTTCTCCCTCCTTGGTGTCCCCTCCCCCTCCTCTGTGTCCCACTCTCCCCTCCAGTGTCCCCTTCCCCTCCCCTCCCCCCTCCTCAGTGTTCTCCCTCCTCCTCTCCCTTCTCTCCCCATCCCTCTGCCCGGGCTGATCATTTCTCTGCACGTTTTCTCAGAGACACTGCTTCATTACAGACTCCTGAGTCTTGATTCTACTTCCAGAATCATGTACCTTTTAACAATTGTATCTCCATTATGTAAATAGGTTTTCCAGTTTATAAATAGCCACCATGAAATTTTAGCTGCCAGTTGAATTCCTCTCCTGGATAAGTTACTCAAGACTGTATTTTTTTATCGTGTCCTCTCTGCTGAAGAATGTGTGCCCCTTGCCGGCTGGCATCTTCCTTTCCCCTGACATTCACATGCGGACACGTGGCTTGGGCAGGTGTGTTACATC